GGTATGATTCTTTTAATTGTTTGGGGAAGATCCCCAGCAGTGGAATAGCGGGTCAAATGGGACTTCCAGTCCTAGTTCTTTGAGGTATCTCCATATGGGTTTTATTTTTTAATCCAATCTGACAACCTCTGTCTTTTAATTCATATGCAGACCATTCACATGCAAAAATGCATTGAAATCTACTTTCTTGCTGTTTTTATTTGTTCTATTATCTCTCTTCTTCCCTCTCCCTTCTTTTTTTCTATCTGCTCTCAAATTCATTAAGTACATGTTAGGGTTCCATTTGTCACCTCTATAGACTTGTCTAAGTCTACTGAGGCTTATTTATATAAGTTTGTAAAGTGTTTAGTGCCTGACCTAGGTTTACCATATACATCTTTAATCAGACTCTACCTATAACATATTAGACTATAGTATAAGGAACTTATGACAAAGCATCCATCCCTGATGTTTTTCAACGCTGTTGCACACAGTGATCACCAGAGGATATATGAAAGGAATTATCAGTCTTAAGCCCAACCCCTAATAAATCCAACCAGAATTTCTGGGACAGAAGTCCCAAGAGTCAATAGTTTTCAGAAATTTTCCATGAAATGCTTAATAAGCACCCAGGTTTGGCCACACACCCTGTAGATCATGCATTCCCAATCAGTACTTATATGAAATACACAGCCTGGGTGTGTTTGAGTGTATCTGGTATGGAAAAGCCAAAGTACTAGGCAGTGGACACAGCTATAAGAATACGATGACCTAGCACCTACTGTCCTCATATGTTTATGTCAACTGCCTGCTCCTTTTAGGCTCCATGACTTATGGCTTCAGTGATGACAAACCTTTTAGAGCTTTCAATAATAACTAACAGCCTGCTGTGGCATGGGTGCCATAGGTTCGCCACCACTGCTGAAGGACCCTTTTTTGCTTTAAATTTTGCTTTAAAATTTTGCTGAAAATAGGTAAAAGAAACCAACTTCTTATAGGTATAATAGAAGAGACTCCACTCTCCCTCTCCGAGGAGGTACCAAACTGTATAATTTACTTCCTCGCTCTGAAATAAATTTTCATTTTTAATAAATGATAGTGTAAACAAAGTGTGAGTGTTTGAATGTGATTTAAGACTCTGAAAAATTTCCTAACAACAAAGTATCAGTGAAATCACCAGCAGTAAATCTGCCATTTTCCATAGAACAATTGAATAGCATAAGTTCTAAAATAACTCCAAAGTTTTAGAGAGATGACTATTTTCAGAACACTGGACTGTGTTCAAAAAATACCAACTTTTCATAGACACAAAGAGCTGGATACCGCATTTGTTGAAACTTCACTTTTAACTACTTAAGGACATGACAGACCAAGGAATCCTATATCATCATTTTTCATTCTGTAATGTTTCCATGAGATCCCCAAACCTTAGGCATCATTTGACTATTCTGGAAAAGTCCAAGAACAGAAAAGACAGTAGGAAAAAGGCAACTTCTAAATAAAATTTGAATCTGTTTTTGGCTCATTTTAACTTAATTATCAAATTGTTCCTATCAGAAATTCTGAGTCCAATGTTCAGATGGGAAAGGGAACAAGGGCAGAAAGAGGGAGAAAGAAAGCAACAAGAAAAAAAAAGTGAAAACAGAAGGAAAAATAGAAACAAAGCTTTTGTACATGGTGGGGGAGAGAATGGGATAAAATAAAAATTATTTTTTAAAAAAAAGAAATGCTGAGTGAAGCATGGTGGCACATGCCTGTAATCCCAGCACTAGGGAGGCTGAGGCAGGAGGATCACTGTGAATTCAAGGCCAGCCTGAGCTACATAGTGAGACCCTGTCTCAAAAAATCAAAAATTATTTTAAAAGAAAGAAACTGATAATACTGAAGTGTAAAGGTAAAAATACTGTCACATTTTCAGTCCAATCCAAGTAGGCATTTTACATTCCAAGTGGTCAATAACAGAAATTTCTAGGAAAATCCATTTCCATAGTCTAGTTTGAACAGGGCAAAAAGACAATGATTGCCTAGGAAAGAGTAATGGAAAATCCAAACACACAGTTCTCTCACTTAGGAAAATTGAAGATAGAAGACCCTGTAAATTGGTATGAAACCCCATGGTGTCAGGGACTCAGGATCTTTCTAGCTTGTTATCAAGCCAGGTCATGACCTAAGGTGGCTGCTTGGGGACTTGCCATCACATCCACATTTGAAGAAAGGAGGGGAGGAAAAGGAGACGAACAATTTCTTCTTTAAGAACACATCCCGAATGTTGCTCACACCCATTGTATGAATTAACCAAAATTTTGTCATTTGTGTGTCCTAGTTGCAAAGGAAGATAAGAAATGAAGTTTTGATTCTATATGGCCCAACTAAAAATTAAGCATGCTGTTATACAGTATAAAGGGAAACAGTTATTGGGTAAAATAATGCCCCCAGGTCTTTCTCTCTACCTGTTCCCCACAGGGATAGCTGCCAGCAGCCCAGACTCCTATCTCCTAGCTTAGCAAATGCAACTGGAAGAAATCAATAGCTCCAGCAGCCAAGTCCCCAGGAGGCTGCTGCTGAGCTGATAAAGTCCTGTCCTCGCCGCCGGCTGGGAGTATTCTGCCAAGCTAGAATCACATTCCCCCTTCCTGTGATAATGAAGGGGTCCGAGACAAAATGGGACTGGATAGGAGAGAAGATCTAGACCATATCACAAGTAAGATGAGTTTCTCACAGGAAGCAAAAGGAAAGGATGCTACACAAAAATGATAAGTGTTCACTGCAGATGCCTTTTCTGTGCTGTACCAGGCATATTCCATTTTAAAAGAAACTAAAATGTCACTTTATAATATCATTTTAAGATACAAAGAGTGAATGTGTATTGAATGGGCCCTGTTGCCAGGGCAGCAGACACTGTCAGGGTTCAGCCCAGGTCTCCTCAGCCCTCTCCACTTCCTTGTACACCTGTCCCTGCTTGCAGCAGCCAACACCTGCACCTCAATGCCAACAGCTTTCTTGGAACACCAAAGCCCACTCCACCTCCCTATGGGGCAAGATGGCAGGCCAGGGGATTAGCCAGCTAAGCCCCTAGCAGTCTTCAGTCAAGTAGGTAAATACCCCAGCTCCCCACGCCCCCACCCCTGGAGGGATAATTCTGATGAGCTCTGTACTGTTTCCCACAGTTCCCCGGAGGAAGTGAGCTACTTGTGCCCACAGGTAACTTGCTTCATAGGCCTTTTCTTAAGCTTCTCTCCTTTTTCTGTCTCACTTCTGTAGCCCTACTGATGTTTCCTGGGATTGCCGCTTAAATACAGTACAACTTACACTTGAGTCTTTGTTTCAGGATTGGGTTCTGGAGGAACCCAGACTATGCCAGCCAAGCACTGCGATGAACTACTTACATGCATTATGCCTTGTCATCTTCACAACAATCATGTGAAATAGATACTATAATTATGCTCTTTTACAGATGAAGAAACAAGGCCCTTGGTCAAGGTCACATAGCTGAGAAAAAGCAGAGTCAGGTTTCAAAGTTGATTCCAACATACACTTAATAGCTACTCTGTCGCCTGCTGCTTTACAATTTCTCAGTAGACAGTCAGCTTTCACCGATTCAGTTCAAAACAAGCAAAAGCTCCAAGATCACTAAAGGGGATGTAAATAAACCAGAGAAACGGCTTTTGTGTCCCACAGAATCTGAGAGGGAAAATGTGACTAAAGCAGTCATGTGCCTTGCCCATTAATATTGGCTGAAATAAAACAAGGCAGTTTTTGGCTTACAGGAAGTCCTTCGTCTTGTTCCTTTCTTTCCCTTCATCCTTAAAAAGAGAAGCTGCCATTGTGAGGGGTTACTTCTCCAGTGTGAAGCATTCCCAAACTCAGTGCGAATGACAGTCTTTCTGGGAAGGAGAGAAACTGGACTCAACTCTACTCTATTTCATGTTGGAAGAATAATACATGTTGTTTTAGAATAACAACTCTGACTTTACAATATACATATTCTCATTTATGGAGGGCAGCGTAGACACTGGTTTGCCTAAGACAAATGACATAAGGAATATCATTTACCTTTGGAATATCGTTTACCTTTTCCATTTTATATGAACTTAAGTGCACATGCAAGTCATTTTTCCATTATTTTAGGTAACACATGCATAAGAGTGAAAATGCATAGTGAAAAGCCACTGAGATCATCGTCTTACTGCTTATTTATTGATTTAGTTAAATGAGCACTGGACCAGGAGTCAGAAAGCTGAGTTAATGGACTAGTTATCTTGTCCAATAAAAGGCTTTTCTGCAACACAAGGGTATTGGCTTAGTGATATCTGGCATCCTCCTACCCCTGAAATTCTCTGGCTGCCTTACTTAAGGGTAAATTGGGATGGCTCCGAGCTTTGTTTATTCTACTGTACTCATCTCTCTCACACTTACTCGGCATGTTTTAAATAACACAAAGGAGTCTTGTGCCCAACCCACCACAGTTTTTGTCTGGATTGTGCCTGCTGAGGGAAATATCTCCTGCACTTACTTCTTGACTTCAAGGTTTTCCTTCAATTTAAGATTGCGTGTGGATAGAATCTTCAGCAGACAGTGTTATCTAATACTAGCTGTTTTCATAACACAATTCTATCCTGTTGATCAATTGAGATTTTTTTCATTATTTAGAGAATACTTCATTAGTTTCTGTAATCAAACCCATGTAGATAAGACCTTACATATTTAATACAGTGCATTACCCCTGTACAAATGGAAAAAAAATAAGTGTAATGTTTCTAGACCAATATGGCTGTTAATTTCTTACAATGCCAACTCAACACAGTAAACTGGGATAACTTTTTCCAAAGTTGACAGCACAATTAAAGTTTACAAAAATTCAAATTATATATATATATGTGTGTATATATATATTTATATTTATATAAAAAGTCCAATAATAGCAGTATGTTATGCATCAATAGCAGCAACAGCTTTTCCAGGTTCTGCAGTCATCTGAACAAAATTATAGAGACATCCAGCCCACTCCATTTAAAAAAAGAAAAAGAAACAAAGATAGAAAAAGAAAAATTCCCAGAAAACAGCAAAGTTCTGTAACTGTTGTGGTACCTGGCACCATTGCTTTTTATTAGCTTCTTAATCATCATCTGGAAAGAAAACATTCTGGAGTAACATCACTAAAAACAGCTCTGATAAAGCACGGTCACTACTACATATCATAAACCAGGTACAAGATATTTTACATTCACAGAGGTATAATACAGTACTGTCCTACATCTATAATACTAGAGAATATAATTAAAAAGGCATTATTTCAGATTTGATTCTACTTTTCCAGCAGAGGGCCCAAAGGATGATGTGATACAGCTCTGTAAAGAAATGTACTTTCTTAAATAGGATTTCCTTTCATTAATAGCACAGTTTAATTACTCATTCTCTTCACGATCATCAGCTAAGAGATTTTTTCTTAAAAGCATGCAATATAATAGATGCTAACTGTTTGCAGACAAGGAAATGGAAATGTTCAAAAGGGTTAGAGAGGTCCCTAGTTTGATATCCGGTACCAAAAAAAAAGGGTTAGAGAAACCTTACATTTGAGTCAAGTTAGATTTTGAACATGTCTCAGGAGGCTGAGAACTATCCCTCCACCTCCATTTTCTAAGCTTACTTGCTCAAATATTCTAAAGAAATTACTTTTTTTGTATTGGGAATGAAACCCAGGTCCTTTACCCTGAGCTCTATCCCCAGCCCTTTTTATTTTGAGACAGGGTCTCACTGCATCGCTAAGTTGCCCAGGCTAGGCTTAAACTTGAGAACTTCATGCCTCAGCTTCCCAGAGTGCTATGATTACAGGTATGTGCCACCAGGCACAGCTAAAGAAATTACTTCTAAAGACATTGTGAATTTCAGGGATACAGTGTGATATTTTGAAACATATATATGTAGTATAAAATAATCAAGTCAGGGTAATTAGCATATACATCATGTCAAACAGTCATTATTTCTTTGTATTAGGAACACTCAAAATCCTTTCTTCCAACAATTTTGAAGCATACCATAAATTATTGTTAACTATAAAAAACAAAACAGATTAAAGATTTAAATTTAAGACCTGAACATGCAAAACTACTAAAAGAAAACACAGTAGAAAAGTTCCGTGACATTGGTTTAAGCTATGATTTGGGGATATACATAAAAGATTTTGGTCACAGGATACAAAATTTCAGTTAGGAGGAATAAATTCAAGAGTTATACTGCCTAGGTGTATGCCTGTAATCCCAGCACTCAGGAGGCTGAGGCAGGAAGCCAGCCTAGGCTACCTAGTGAGTTCAAGGCCAGTCTGAACTACACAGTGAGATACTATCTCAAAAATCAAAAACAAAACAAAACAACAGCAAAAAAGTTATATTGCCTAACCTAGTGACTACAGTTAATAACAAAGTATTATATTCTTGAAAAGTGCTTAGAGTAGATTTTTAAATGTTCTCACTACACACACCAAAAAATTATAAGCAGATGAGGTAACATACATATTAATTAACTTAATTCCGTTATTCCAGAATGCATATGTATTTCAAAACATAATCTACACCATATATAGATACAATTTTAACTTGTTAATTAAAAGTAATTTTAAGCTAGAAGAAGAAAATGTTAAAAAAGAAATTGTGTAAACTCTGAACTCTAAATGGAATTATGGGGCTAGATGAACAAGTGGTTCTGTTTTTGGTTTTGCTTTGTTTTGATGGGTGTCGCCACTTGTAAACAGAGAATGTGTTCAGTAGAAAATGTCAGATCTTTAGGCTGAATATCCTCCCTAATGTATTGTGGCAATTGATTGGCAGTGGAAGATAAAATGCTCTTCTTAAGCTATAGGGACAGGTTACCTAGTAACACAGAATGATTAATTTCTGTTCACAGAGACTGGTTCTTTTAATTGGATGAAAAGATTTAAAGAACACAGCTGGGGGAAATAGCGAAATGGAGGATTTATGGCAACTATCAGTGGACCTAATATCTGCAAACTTGTCAAATCGTAAGCCAAAGCTTACAGTATGAGTGACTCTTTTGGTAAAAAGAATCCAGCTAAACCACTACAGACTCACAATTTTGTCCTGTTTATACAGGTAGGAAAAATAAAAATAAAGTATGGGATTAAGCATATAAAAGACCAGTGATACTGGTCATTCGAGAGATGCAGATGAAAACAACACTAAGATTCCACCCCACCCCAGAAAGAATGGCTGCTATCAAGAAATCAACCAATAACAAATGCTGGTGGGGGTGTGGGGAGAAAGGAACCCTGCTCCATTGCTGGTAGGAGTGCAGGCTGGTGCGACCACTGTGGAAATCACTATGGAGATACCTCAA